CTTATTTAACGTGAAATCGACAATCACAATTCCCAGGAATAGCGACAATCGAATAATAGTAGCTTATCTGCTGCTTGTCGATACTAGCAATAGGGGCGTTAATTTTTTATGTAATTATAGTTGTTGTAACCTTTTTAATCAAAACTTAACTCCTAAAAATTAAATTTAAAAAAATATTGTTTGGAATTGCTCGGAGTGGGTCCTATAGCGTTTACAAAAAACTTAGAACCTTATTTTAACAAATTCGCGTTCTCATTTTAAAGTTTAAATTCTGTTTTTGGCTTAGATGCATTTTAAGTTGACTATGAAAGAGTTAAAATGGTGATTACAATAAAAAACCTTTTTAATCGCTAAAACCTTTTTCTAACTTCTCTATGACTACGGGCCTTCAATAGTCCAAAGTGAAAACAGGACCATAGCAACATGCTGGTTCATTGTTGGAATATGTAACACCATCTTACATTTAGTAAAACAAACACTTTATTGTACACAAGTCAGGATGGTAAAGACTTTTCTATTTATTTTAAATCAAAAAGTTAAAAAAATAACTATAAAGCATCTTACAAGAAGTAGGTTCTTGGTTTTCTGTATGAGAACAATTTCCTGTTGCCCTTGTGGTGTACTCTTTGCACCAATGGGAACTTGATTTTTGAATTGTGGAATTGTTTAACATGCACACGACGAGTGTTGCTGGCTTTGATGGAGTCAACCTTGATGATTTGAATAGAATGAGCACGAGCACGATGACGTGCACCCATATCACGGTAACACGCCGTCACCGCACCGCCAACGGTCAGATCACGGTATTCACGGTACATATTGTGGGTACCGGAACGAGAATCATAACGCAACCAAATACCAAAATTCTTAATTTTAGTGGGGGAAGTTTCGTAGACCTGTTTCAGCGAGACAATTTCACCGGTGGTCTTCTTGAACTTCTTCAGTTGGCGCAAGAAATACCAGAAACGCGACTTGGCCACGATGTTATCCGGAGCAAAGATACGCATTTTGTACAGTGGAGTTTGTGGCTCCTTCTCGGTTGGCAGCTTGCGGCCAATAACTTCGTATTCCTTCAACTGTAAAGAGAATCAAACAAAATACTCGCATTAGTTATGGAAATAAACAATCAATTAAATTGAGGTTAAACAAGACTTTCTGACAGCTGACTTCTGCATGCAAAGCAAAAGTGCACCAAGCGCTTTTCCTTATGAACACATTCAGAAAACAATACAAGCCGTTGTCTTATGCTGACACCGCTAAAAAATTAGCAAATTTTAGAGATCAAAATACAAAAAGTTCACCAAGTTTCGTGTCTTATAAGAACTAGCACAATTCGCCACCCGCATAAGCACGTTGGAAGTCACCTTCACAAAACTGCATTTTTAAGCATTTGATTCTCACAAAAAGTTTACAATAATGTACAGCACGTTTAACTTTACTTCAGCCAGTCTTATTTTAGCAAATTTTTTAATTATTAAACGAATATTGGGCAAAATTTCGGGAAAAATTACCTGTCCCTTGGCTTTCATTTTAGCAGCGTTCAGAGAAAAGGAAGAGAAAACCGCAACCAACTTCAGGTCTGAAATTTAGAGTTGCAATCGTGGCGAGATATCACAAGGTTGCATGTGTTCGCTAATTTTCCGTTCGCAAAATTTGTTAGAATTTCTTACATTTTTTTCAAACCCCCTTTTTTACGATTGAATTTTTTAATTTTTCTGTAAAGTTTTTCCTAAAAAAAAATCGGTAAAAGAGCGCCTTAAATAGCGCATCTTACGCCAGTGCTACTAAAACTGTCGATTTGCCAATCGGTTTTGGACGTAAATGCACTCTGTGATCAAGGGCAACAGATGGCGCCTATGTAAGAATTTGTTTACATTCTTAAAACAGCTGTTTTACAATTATTTCTTGGAGTAGAACGTCTTTTACAATGGGAAAACGTGAAGGTATTTGTTTTAATTATAAAACTATATATCTGTACAATAATCTTTTCTATTTGACTATAAAGAGCATAAGCGAACGAAAAAACCAAGACATGTTGTCCACTCGCCGCACGCGACAAATACTACCACAGGGACGGCTTCTCCAGCTGCGACACCTACTCCAGTACCTAAAGAAGATAGCGCTTATGATGCTGAAATAATCGATATAGTCGATGTTGTTGATCATGAGCAAGAAGTTTCCAGCACTCCAACTCCTACCACACCAGTCCTTACGCCACCTAAGGCTTGCAAAAGTAGCTCCAGCGGCGGTAAAAAATCTACAACTAAACAACCTTCTACGCCCGCCGCAAGTAGTAATAGTTCTCCAGCAGCGTCAGCAACCCCAACCGCCAGCGGATATTCAGCTAATAATAAAAAGTCAAAGAAACGACGCGATAGCAGCACATCCAGCGAGGAAGAACGTTGGTTAACTGCTATTGAATCAGGAAAATTGGAGGAAATGGATGACGAGCTAAAGAAAATGAAAGATCCCAAATTGATGACAGCGCGTCAACGAGCCATGTATGAGCGTAATACGGATAAAGAACCGTCGCCAGGTGGTGAATTGTTAATGTCACTACCAACTGGTTATCGTGAGAAAGAAAAACCACAAACGGCAGAGGATATACAAAAAGCGCAGCTCAAATCACAAAAGCGGAAACAACTTGCAGATGAAAAACGCGAGAAGGACAAGAAGAAGACAATGGATCGTTTGCTGAAAAAACAGGAAAGCAAGCAGCGCAATGCAACGCGTAACAAGTCGAGCAAAGTGTCACAGCCCATGATCACATACCACAACACATTGGACGGTGCCTACATACAGCTGCCAACGGGTCATGAATTTCCGCTGGCAGCGCAAAAAGCGCGCGCGCCTCCCAAGGTGCAGATTTGTGGCATCGCTGGTTGTGGTAAACCCAAAGTGTATAATTGCTCCAAAACAAATTTGCCGCTATGTAGCTTCGCTTGTTATCGCAAGAATGTGCAAAACATTAGACAAATAATGTGCTAATGCCGATGCAAATCATGGTATAATTAAGAAACACTGTATTTTATATTTAGCAAATAACTTTGGTATTAATAATTGCATTAATAAATTTATGTAGTTTTTACTGATTCAACAAAAAATTATTTATAATTTCTTGCTGCTCAGATTCTATGCGTTGCAAGTATTGATATTCGTTACGAAGGCGTTCTAATTCCATGGTTTTCTCGTGAATTTTACTCTGAAATATGTGAATTTGATTTAATTAGTTTAAACTAAAAAAAAAATCACTACGCAGACTGCTGCACCTGATTCACTCACCTGGTATACCTGCTGCTCTGCCTGACGTTCTTTGGCGATTGTTTTGAGTAGATTTTGGGTGCCGATAGCTCTCAATTTCTCCTTTTCCACATCTTTAGCAAAATCACTAATGATTTTATGAAAATCATCTGCATATTTCTTAAAATCTTGTAATTTATTGGCATATTCCAAACACTCCTCGCGCAATTCGTTGGTTTCATTAGCAATAGCTGGATCTTGTACTCGCAGTCGATAGATGTCGTCAATGTAGAGGCCAGCTTTCTGCAGTTCTTCCGACATTTTATTTCGTTAATCAAATATTTTGCTACCGAAGATATGATAAAAAATATTTAATCAGCCCAAGGCATAATATAGCCGTACTATAAAGGTCAATTTACTTATGTTTGCTTCTTTATCAATTACCATGACAACAAAACTATCGCATTTCCGGTTCATTATTTCTCACTTTACATTGCTAGAGTTGATAAAAGATACTTGTACGAGGATTCTTTATTTAATTGGAACGAAGGTGATAAAGTGATAGCGACCAGAAACTGCATAACCGAAACAACCCAACAAATTAAACACCCTACCCCCACCCCCTGTTGCTAAGTGTATTGTTTAATTAAAAGTTATTAGAGGATTGACTTCTTTATATTTCCGCTTTATTTGAAACACACAGAACTTACGAAGTTAGTATTTTATCGCATAGCATAACATTAAAAAGTAAGTGAAGAAATATTTTTTTCGGCTCAAGGCGATCCGCCGATTTATTGCCGTGGTAACAAATCGGCAACATCATTTCTTTAATGTCATTTAGGAATATGTTGTCAAAAATTTCTAAACTGATGAATTTCCCTTCCAACAGTATTCTCCAAAACCATCTATGCCAAACATACGATTGAAAAAATGGAAATAATTTAATTTTTTTCAAATCTAACACCCAAATTCATAAAACATAAGAAGACTTTTACGGCTTTATAAATCGAAAATTTGTATGAAAAGTCCACTTTATAGAACTCTTAAAATCTATTGTATTTTTTATGAATAAGGCCATAATTTTGTATATAAAAAATGATATAGTAAAAAGATCAAAATTCTTCCAAGTAATTATTGCTAAAATATCGCCTGTAGCAATAATAAAGCGCTAAGAAAACGACTCATTCAGGTAAAAAGAAAGCGTCTCGACCATGCGAGTTGCCTTTGACGGACCTGTTGGAGCGACTGGTAAAAATAAAACGATGCGATGGTGATATTAGCGGCAGTAAATTTGTTGCCGAGGGCGACACTTTTTCTTACTCCTGGCAACAAAAATTGCCTAGTGGGAATGTTTATAACTAGCTCGATATAACTTTAGCTATTGGAGGTTCAATTAAAATTCACATTTTCCTCAATACGTCATCCCATTAATCTTAAAATAAACATGTCTAACGTTTCGATTCGTCACATGCAACATTTATTATATTGTTAAGTCTTCTATGAGAAAGCTTTTCAGTTTCCTTAACTCTTGTTTTCCTCCGTGGTAGTCTTTAATGCTTTTTGCTTATTATGCCTTTGAAATTTTGGTTTTTTAACGCCCGAGTGCTTTTATATTTATTTGTTGACGTATTTTACTGTCCACATAATAAAGTATAAAAGTGCTTTATTATTAGAGCTTATTCTTTTTGCACACACAATTAAATAAATAAATCAAGTTGCAAACTACGAACTGATTATAGAATGTTTGATTAAGCATATAATACTATAGCTGCACAATTGTTATGCAGCATATCCAACATACAATATTTAAAAGTGTTTTTATATGATGAGAAAACTGATTGAAAAGTGAGTTATAAAAAAATATATTTACGTATACATACTATAAGCCAAACAAGATAAGCATATAGTGTTTGGTCACTTCAAGAATATGTATCTATGTATGTAATGCACTCACATTGAATGTGCATTTCTTTTTTTTTTTTTTTTTGTTTTTGATCACCAGATTTTTTTCTTATCGAGAACATTTCCTTTACCCTTGTAATAGCGCTAGGATATATAAAAATATCCTTACAACAATATTTTTCTTTGGCGATTCATACACTACCGCCGCTAACATCTCTCCAAAGCTAGGGAAGCGCTGCTCGTTGTCATCCCACATATTGCTTCATAAATCATGTAGGATTGTTACGTTTGTTCGAACGTAAGCGCGCCAAGCTGGTGCGTTCCTCTTCCTCATCGCTGGTGTACTGCTGCATGCCGGGTGCAGCAACGGCACCACGCACCGACGATGTAGCTTGTAATAGCTCCTGATCAGGAGCATTGCGATTTTCATACAAAAGTACTTGCAGTGTCTCCTCATATATGCGCGCCTCTGGAAATTCCACTTTTGTGTGTTTGCGATCTGTAGCGTACACGATAGAGGTGCAGCACACTTCAGCCACTTTTTTGCCATGACCGTAAAATGACCAGCAACATATTTCACTAGGTCCAATAACATCCTTGATGAAAAGTATTCGTTCATTGAAACGTAAAGATAATTTGTCAAAAAGCTCGATATTCTTAAGCAAATTATCATCTGATGTGCTAGTGTATGAATACTTGTTGTTTTGTCGTTGAACCACCAATATTACAGCAGGTTTCGACGACGAACTTATTAGTAGCTGTTCTTCTTTTTGAGATGTAATCAACGGTATGCGGCATATGGGTTTTGGTTCTTGATGTGCCAACAGGGCTCGCTCGCATGACATGGCCAATTCGGTGATACAATAATATTTAGCTTCTGCAAGCAATTCTGCTATTTCCTTGTGAGATTCTGGCAGTGGAACGGTTCCATCACGCAAGTAGTTCAGTATTGTTCCGAAATGATTGCCGCAGCGATCGATTAGAATCCAGCCTGTAATTTAGAAATATTCAACATTTTATTAAAGATAACAATTATGTAGAGTATCCACTATTGAAAAGGGCGTGACTAATCAGTTTAAGCATAAAAAAAAACAAAGCGACACGATGCATCATCACTTATGCTTTAGGCTTTAACATTTTTTCTCTCTGAATTACTAGCTACTTTTTTGAACTTACCCTCTGAATCAGTGAGCACTTCCATGCGGCCGCTGAACATAGCACTTAGCATAGTATCGTGTTTCGTCAGCGTGCCGATTGTAGTGTAATACAATCTCCCACCTACATTCAATTTCACATACTGTGATGAGTGTCCTTTGAGAAGAGTTTTCTGATCGCCAGACATTTTACTTGTAGCCACTAGTCCAGGTCCAGGAATCAAATGCACTTTGCCAACAGCACCACTACCACTTGGGACTAGACTAACGCCACTGGAGCCTTTGCAAACGCTATCTTTGGCGTTGCAGTTGCTCGACGTTACAATTGCTACGGAATCAATTTTGACGATTGTGTAAACCAGAGAGATAGGCGTAAATAGATATCAGCGCCCTTGTATGCCGTCCACACTTCTCCCTGGGACCTAGATGGGCGTAGAGTTTAAAATGTAGGATTTTTTAATTTTACAGCACTTTAAACTACACTCTTCCTCAGTCCTAACAAGCAGGACGTTTTATTGACCCCTAGGAAAGTCAATCCAACCTATTATCCTCGTTAGAATATGGAAATTAAAACAATTATCTACGAGGTGCAGAAAACATCAGAAATGCACCAAGTTGACAAATTTTTGTGTAAAGAGTTACCAGATGTATGAGAATAACTACTCGGGATTTCGCCCAAATGTTTGGAGGAATTCCGGAGGAAGTTAAAGACCGGATTATAATGGAAGTAACGGAACGGGATGAGCTGTGACTATGAATACAATTGTTTATAGTGCACGTAAACGCAACGTGAAAAGGAAGCATATACAATCAATGCCGCGTATTCATAGTGCAGCTACCACAGTATATACAGTAATACCCCTTTTTGAGTACTCGTCGGGGGTAAAATCTGATCAGGGTTGATAATGAGAAGGAGCATGAATTCAGATTCAGAGTTGCATACAAATTTACTGTGGTATGAAAGGGAGCAACAACCGTACTATGTCAGAGTGGCACAGGTAATTTTGTAAACACTTTTCTTATAATTATAAGAGATAATTGCTATTTATTTTGCAATATTCCGATATCCAGTGTGTAGCCAGAGGCAGTGGCATGTGAGCCTCACTAAAATCTACTCATCATGTTGGAGCAGCTCCGGGTAAAAGACCATTGAATGTGCTGGCTGAACTTATGACCACCTTAACCTTCGGGAGTCTCCAAGCAAATGCGTGTCCTGAGTTTATACGGTAGCCATTCATAGCAATTACTATTGTATGTGTGTATAATTCATCCCAGTAGAACTTGGGAGCATCGTACGATTGCTCGGTGAGTACTCCCTTGGGAGCATACGAATACTCCCCATTGCTCCCTATGCTTCTGTGTATAAGCATGTAATTTTGTATACTCCCTTTAACATTGTATGTCCTAGGAGGGGGAGTAATCCCTTTTACCTCCTAAACGAGCAATCGGGAAGCACACACATAAATAGCATCCCACAAAGCTCCTAAGGGAGCAATACGGGAGTACTCACAGAATAACCTCCCAGAAACCTCCCAAAAAGACAAAAAAGGAGTGCACAAAGAAAAACATCCCACATTCCTCCCAAACGAGCAATACGGGAGTACTCCCATAAGAGTCATCCCGCAAACCTCCTTTACGAGTAATAAAAGAAGGTTTCTATACTCCCCAATTCCTCCTCATGGAGTAGTAGGAGAGTACTCCCTAATTGCTCCTTAATGATCCATTACATAAGCTAAAAAGATTTTGCTATTTATGCAATCCATTTATTTAATTTTTTATCGCATGCGCACATTAATATAAAACCTTACAATAATAAACAGGTAAAACATGCAAAATAATGCTTACTAAATAATAATACAGAAAAATGTATGAAAGCTAAAGATTATAAACTTAAAACGGTACGATGAAGGTATGTTTGGAATTGGTATTCACCTGGGAATCCACAGAAACGAAGCGCATCAAAGTGTTAGCAACTTCCGGACGATTTCAGCAGGTATCAGATAATTCTGATTACCACATACAGACCTAGGCGATTTGTCAAATGCCGTTTATTTTGATAAATATCATGCCAGACGAAACTAAAACTAATACTTGAAGGTATTTGCATACTCAGAACTCACCATCCCTTAATGACAAAGGCTCTTAATGGCTAATTGATTTCGAACCCAATAAAAGTTCTGGACTGAACAGGGTAAGAAACGTAAGAATTCGATCATTTTAAGCGCTGACACCGCCATCTGAAATGCAGTTTCAGTTAAATAATGAAATAATTAATAAGTTTAAACAAATTTTGTCATACATACCGATGGACCTTAATGTGGGCTGCCCAATTTATTTTATTATTTCCTCGTTTTATTTTTCAATAACAATTATGTATTTACATATATTTACATATCTGTCTTGTTTTCTTCATAATACATTTTTCCAAAAACACAAAATAGTTTTGAACGAGGTGCGTATAGCTCCCCTATCGATCAAAAGGAATACTCCTGGATTGCTCGCTTAGGAGACATCGCTTTTTGCTCCTAAGTGAGTAATAACGGAGTACAAAACCGACAAATCTCAGTTATTGCTCCGAAATCATGCCTCACGGAGTATTCTCTTATTGCTCACTTGGGAGATCTCCCTTTTGGCTCCTAAGCGAGTAATAAAGGAGTACAAAATCAACAAATATTGCTTATTGTTCCGAAATCATGTCTCTGGGAGTATTCTTTTGTTGCTCACTTAGGAGATATCCTATTTGACTTCTAAAGGAGTTACAAAAGAGGTCAAAACCGACAAATCTCTCGTATTGCTCCGAAATCAGGTCAAAGGGAGTACCCTTTTATTCCTCACATTGGGAGATCTCCNCGACGTTATCCAATCCATGTTATATGCATGGAGCCGAACACGTCGATAATGATGTTTAAACGGAGATTAGTGTTAACCAGACATTGAGTAACCGGCCCTAAATGTAAGTAGCAACTTAAGAGCGAAATACACCACACGAGCGGCTTGTCAAACATAATTCAAACCCATGATTCAATAATTAAAAGTTACAGGCTAACCTAATATTCGCGGCTTGCGTTTTGGTACGCACGCCGACGAATTTGTTTTTTTGCGTCACCCGAAATTGGCTTGCGTGCGTTTGCATTTGATTTCATTGAGCGAAACGTCAAATCAAAATGT